CCTGGTTATCTGCCCCAATTTTTTTTTTTTTTTGCCATGGGAATAGAGCTAAAGGTTTGATTAGGGTCAGGGTCAACCTTGTTAAGAGCACTTGTGGGGAGGGCTTTGTATTTTGTGGTACCATGTGAGGAACACATGAGGTTGGTTGTCTTGCTGTAGTGATAAGATGATAGGATGGGCTGGAGAGATGGCGCAGTGATAAAAGTGCTGGCTGCTCTTGCAGGAGACCCGGGTTCAGTTTCCAGCACCTGCATGGCAGCTAACAACCATCCATAACTCCAGTTCCAGGGGATCTGATGCCCTCTTCTGGCCTCTACAGGCACTGCATGACATAGCTGCACTTACACGTATGTAGGCAAAACACTCATACATATAAAATAAAAATAAATTGATTAAAGAAAAAAGATAATAGGATGCACAGTGGATTCCCATGGCGGCCACTGCCTGGGCAGCCCATGTGAAGGTTCTGGGGTGGGGGCCTCCCATCTCATGGCTTAGATCTGTTATCTCAAGTGGAGTCACCAGATGGTGGTAGTTTTGTTCCTTTCACTTCTTCCACACTGATGGCTGGAATCTTTCTGCAAAGAAGAGCATTCCCCCCATTAACCAAGGCACACTGCAATACATGGACTTCAGATGAGGAACAACCCATTCTCAAGCTTTCCCCCGACTCACCAGTTTTCAGGCAAAGACTCAGTGCGTCCATTTCCTGCTTGCGTTACCTGGTGGGTTGTGTTTTGGTTTGTTGGCTCATTTGCTTTTTGAGAGGTTTCTTGAGTATCATTGTAAACTATGGATATTTGCTGTGATGAAGGTATCAAAACAGCCCCCCCACTTCAGGTCTTGGGAACCTACTCTCCAGGCAGCAGTGTTTGTGGTGGGAGGCAATAGTACTACTATGGAGAGTGCTCAGAAGGCTGGGCTCCCTCTCTGGCCCTTCTGCCTTCTCTGCTGTAGAGGGTCATCAGATGCTGGAATTTACTATGCTTCAGATATGTGAGGAAATAAAGTTTTCATCTTTGTTAGATGGCCAGTCTGTGGTATTGTGTTATAGCAACATAAAATAGACTAAGGCTGTATATATATGGTATGTGATTCAGTCAGCACAGTCTAGTTTTTTGTTTGTTTGGTTGGTTGGTTGGTTTTTTGGGTTTTGGGGTTTTTTGGTCTTTTTGAGATAGTCTCCCTATAGCCCCAGCTAGCCTGGAACTCACTATGTAGACCTGGCTGGCCTTGAACTCACAGATAGCTGCCTGCCTCTGCTGGGATTAAAGGTGTGAGCCATCATGCCCCACTGTTTTGTTTTTTTTAATATTCAAGTTATCCCATCTTTGGTCAGTAGTAATCTCTTTTATTCCAGCTTCTGTGACCTTTGACCCCATCACATGACTTGACTTGTTCAATTCTGGCTGAGATGTCCAATGCATGTTTTAAGCATTTCCTTCCATTCTTTCCAGAAGCCCTGTCCTCTCTGGTGATGCTGGCTTCTATAGGTTTTTACTACCTAGACTGTGTTGTGCCACAGAAATATAACATGAACCACACATTGCCATTTAAAAAGTCTAGCAGCCAAAGTAAATAATGTAAATTTCCTGTTTAACCCAGTGTATCTCAAGAACTGTTATTCCAACATAAAGTTAATGTGAAGGTGTTCCACCTTTTTTTCCACATTGTCTCAAACTCTGGCCTATATTTTACATTTAATAGCACATCTCAATTTGAATTTTTCTAAGTGTCCATGAGGCCAGCGGCTGCTGTGTGGAATAGCACAGCTCTAAAATTTCTCAGACAGAAAGGACCTACATTTTGTATGTGTGTGTGTTGAATCCATGTGAATGTGTGTGTACATACCTGTGCACGTGCATGAGAAGGCCAGGGCAGGATATCTAGGGTCCTCCTCTGTTGCTCTCTGCCTTACTGCCTTGAGACGGGGCATCCTTCCAAATAGGAAGTTGAGCATTTCAGCTAGACTGTCTGGCTAGTCAGTTCTCAGGATCCACCGGTCTGTGTACCCCATGCTGAAGTTACAGGCATGTGTAGCCAGCCACACCTTGCTTTTTACATGTATGCTGTGGATTTGAACTGACTCTCATGCTTGTAAAAGCAAGTACCCACCCACTGAGCCGCTGCTTCAGCCTTAGACCTTCATTTTTTGAGAAACAAATAATGACCTCAAATTTAAACTTAGCCATTTAAGATTTTATCTGTTTGATATTATGCCTGTATTCTTTTTTTTCTTAGAATCTTCATTTCTAACAGCATTAACAAAATTTCTTTATTCTAAAATGATTCTAAAGAGTAATACACATTACAATGGGCAGTGTCATACAGAATAAAGTGTAAGATTGCTGTCAGTTCTATTTGTATATCAAATACATTTCACTATTAAGGAAGTGTGATTAAATATACTAATTCCCTAAAGTCATTTAAAAAAAACTTTGTAAGTTTGAGGCCAGCCTAGTCTACATAGTGAGTTCCAGGCCAGCCAGAGCTACCCAGTGAGACCCTGTCTCAAAACAAACAAACAAAGCTGGCAGTGGTGGTTTAAGCCTTTAATGCCAGCACTAAGCAGAGGCAGGCTGATCTGTGAGTTCCAGGCCTGCTGGGACTATGCCTCGGTCTCCGAATCCCTTCATCTTGGGGAGAGGAACAAGAAGCCGCAGCGATGGGGGTCGAGGAGGGGTAAGTGCGCTGTCCGCCCGTTTTGCCAGCCCTTCTCTCCGAGGACAATCAGACACGACAGGGAGTAGCTTTAAGCTAGAACTCGTTTATTATTAAGGCTGAACAATATTTAAAGGCAACGACCACAAGCATAGCATAGATGGGGAGGCTGCCATCCAATCAGCTCAGAGGTCACGTATTAGCACGCAGGCCCTTCTCATAGCATAACTCAGTGTTCACGAGGTGATCATGCGTCCTTTACTGGCTAAGCTTTAATCAGTACTACTTTTTCTTTTTGTTGCCTGCCAAGCTGGCCAGCTGGCTCCACCTTTACCTAAGCTGCTCAGCGCCATCTTGTTTCGTGCCTCCACAGGAGTACAGGGAGACCCTGTCTCAAAAAGACCAAACAAACAAACCCAACCAAACAAAAGCAAATAGAAAACAAAAGAACAGTAATAATAACAAAAAAAACTTTTCTATCTTCTGCTTGATTTAGTTTAATCTCAGTTCAAAGCCATGACCCACTGTTTGGACCAGTGCAGCAATGAGGCTGTGACTGAAACGTGAGATGTGAGTTGAGGCCAGGTTCGTCACCTTAAAGTGAGGCTGAGTTCCCATTAGCTGTTCATCATGGCAAAGTGCTGTAAGGACCAGAAAGAGCTGGGCAGGAGGACAGGGCTCTTTTCACTGGGCTGGTTCCTAAGGTAGGTCGTCCCTCCTCCTTTCCTTCTTCCTTCCGAGACTTATGCAGAGTCTTTTGATGTGCAGAAATCTAGACCAAAATACTACCTTTGAGTTTTGCTTAGCTCCAGAACAAAGGACTAAACGGATACTGCTTTGACTATAACCCTCCTAATGAAAACCAAGTCGACAGACTGCAAGTCATTTTGTACCCCTGCCATGGAATGGGTCAGAACCAGGTAGGCGTGGACCTTGGAAGGGGGAAAGGGGAGGGTCAAGCTCTGTGTCCTTTTTGAAAAATTACATTTACGTGTATGTCTGTGTATGAGAGTGTGTGTGTGTGTGAGAGAGAGAGAGAGAGAAGAGAGAGAGAGAGAGAGAGAGAGAGAGTATGCCACGATGTGTGTATCCAGTTTAGAGAACAGCATTCAGGGGTTGGTTCTCTCCTTCCACCACGTGGGTCCCCAGGATAGAAATCAGGTCATCAGGCTTAAAGCAAGTGCCTTTTCCCACTGAACCATTTCACTGGTCCTTTATGTGTTCTTTAAAAAATTAAATCCTTGGGTCTGGAGAGATGACTCTGATGCTCTCTGACCTCTGTGGGCATTGCACAACATGGGTGCACTTACATACATGAGGCAATATGCTCATAGACACAAAATAAAAATAATGAATAAAATATTTTTTAAAACTTAACACTTGGTTTTTTTTCAGGGTGTGACTCAGTGGCAGAGCCCTTGCCTAGCATGTGGGAAGGAATCAAAAGCATTTTTACAGTGCTCCCAGCTTAAAAAGAATTCGGAAATGAACCACATTTTATAGACAGGAATGTGGGATAAGAATACAAACAGCTAAAATTACACAACTTTATTAGCTTTCTCATTGTTGTGACAAAATGCCTGACAGAAACAACCCAAGGGAAGAAGGTTTTATTTTAGCTCACAGGTTTAGAAGGTTCAGTCTGTGGTGGCTGGGCCCCACGTACTTGGGCAGAACATCATGGTAACAAGAAGGTGAGATGGAACAGAGCAGTTCACATCATGGTGGTCAAGACAGAAAAGTGGCCAGGGCAAAATACAGCCCCAAGGACATATTCCCAAGACTTACTTCCGGCAGTGAAGCCCCACCTCCTCCTGCCTTTCATCACTTTCCAGAGATACCTCCAGTTATGAATCCATCAAGGGAATGATCCGCTGATTAGGTCAGACCCTCAGGGCTCACCGTCTGTGGAAACACCATCACAAACTCAACCCAGAGGTGCTCTTCCCTCATTTCTTAGGTGTTTGTTGGTACAATCAAGTTGACCATTGAAATTGACCATTACACCCGGGTTGTATCTCCAGTGCTACAA